TCAAGCTTTTAAGACCCCAGACGCTATATCTTTTGATAGCCGGGCACCATCAGCTTTCTTCACATTTGCTTATTTACCCGCTTTGTCTTCAGCGGTTGTGTCGGGGAAAGTCACTTTCTATAACAATTAATTTTATCAGAGATCCTATGTTTGAAAGCTGGGCATCTGGAAAAGGGCTTCTTTAAAATCATCGATGCTTGTGTAACCCTTAAACAGTCTTCACAGATCTCCAGAGATCGCCATGCCCCTGTTTGAAGTCTGCTGCTTAAGCCTTTGCTATAGACTTCCCCCTAGTCACTATGCTTCCAATCCATTTTGAAACAAAAATTGAGATATAATTCATATGCCATAGAATTCACTCTTCTTAGGTGTGCAATTCAGTGATTTGTGGTGTATGCACAAGGTTGTGCAACCATCACCACTAATTCTAAAGCCCTTTCATGCCATTCCTCATTTCTCCTTCCCACCATCCCCTGGAAAACATTAATCTTCTATGATTTGCCCATTTTGAATATTCTATCTAAATGAAATAATGTGGCTACTTGTGTCTCACTTCTTTCCCTCCAAAAATGTTTTTATGGTTAATCTATGTTGTAATATGGACTTAATGTCTCTTTTCCTAATATTCCATTTGCTGATGGACATTTGGGTATCAACGTTGGGGCTATCAAGAATAATGCTGCCATGGCCATACAGCTCAAGTGCAGGGGCAGTAAATTCATTAATATAGCTCTTTGAGCCAAAGTCTAACTCCCACCAAATGATCTTTCTCTTCGTGGATCTGGTAAGAAAGTGGGAGAGGATAATGGTAGGATTCACATGTAATTGTGAACAGAATTTCTAGAAATACCATCCTGTTGGATATAACATGAGCCCTTTGAGAAACAGAAGGAGGGATCTCATTACCAGCAAGAGCCAGGAGTGAACCCAAGATCCCTGTGCAGTGAACATCCTGGATCCAGAAGACAGCTGTAACACCCGAATAGTCACAGCAGAACCAGGAGCCAGAGCATGGAACAGAGTGATGGACTTCTCAATCCATGGAGCCAGGAAAGGTCAGTGCCTTTGTGTAGGAGGCTGGCGTTAAGAGTGGAGTGCCTCTGGGTACTTAATTCAGGAAGTTGGGTTCATTGATCCAGGGGCTAGCTGAAGAAGGCCTTCCCCTTGGGCTTTACTGTTGAATGTTATGCTCTTTGGGGCATTCAGTAACAAAACCTGAAAGAACTTAGCAACATTCCCCATAATCAAGTCAACCCTGAGCATTTCTCACTAGCACTCTAACTTGTTAACTTCCTTAGTAGGTCTTTTAATCATGAATTTTGTCTGCGGGTTCTGTACAGTCATGACAATGGATATTACAATCCAGAGAGGTAAACTCGAGAACATTCATCAAAACAGCACAACAGGGTTTTACGTGAACATGTGTTTTCTTTTCTCTTGTGGTCACCATGCGTCAAAATCAACTTGACCACAACTGGTATATTCTTAGGAATGGAACTGCTGGGTCATACGGAAACTCAAACTCAAGGCTAATCTTTGGGAAACCGCCACCCTGTTTTACAAAGTACTTGCCCTTTTTATGCTCCCAGCAACCATGTATGAGGATCCCATCGTGTTGCTTATAGACATCCGTGAGTACCAAGGGGTTTAAGATTGCATTTCCCTAAATGGCTGATGATTGCTGCTCAATATCTTTTCATGTATGGACTGACGGCCTCTACTTTTCAACCTCTAATTCAGAGATGGAAAACCTCTTCTCGGCCAGCGGCTATTTGGAGCTTGATCACATCATTCTCAGACCATGCTGATCAAACCTTTAATTAACTCACCACTGATGTGATGGCTAGAACTATTTCCTTTTGGCGAGGCATGAAATGTTAGCTGGTATTTGTGGGTTTCAGCCTCACATCCAGATGGGCCCTAAAGAATAGTTGTGTAATGGAAGGGAAGAAATTCAGAGACGGACTAAAGTTTTGGGGTGCTCACCTCTGCCATGGCATCAGAAACTGATGAGAGCACCATAGAGCTTCCTTACAAGACGTTGAACTACCTTGCAAGACGTTGAGCCACCTCAAAGAAACAAACACAAGAAACTCCACTTCAGAGAAGAAATGAAGTGTAACATTGGGGCCTGTATTAGTCTGGGTACTTTGGAGAAACAAATCCACGGCGACTCACATATAAAAGAGAGTTTTATGCAAAGAAAATGTGCATCACGAAAACATCCCAACCCAATGCTGCCCAAGCCCACAAGTCCAAC